TCCTATGATGAATAAGATGATTCTGGAACCTCCAAGGGAAATTCCAGTACGTCCAGACCTATTACAAGGCCCCTTGACACACCAGGATCCTCAAGTTCTGGTGTTGATGCGGGAGTCCATATTAGTATAGGCATCCCTGAGACGGTCATTGAGATCCTCTTACAATCCTATACAGGATTTACAAAGCTTGACATGCTTTTATCTGTTGGAATTACTCCTCGTTCAGGCCTTGAAAGGTTCTGTGTTATAACACTCTAGAGGAGCACTTAGCTGCACTTTGCTTCATATAGGCATTGAATTGAAATCATGCCTCCACTGAGTGTGGTGAAGCCAATATGTGACGTACCACTGGTCTCACGGGCCCTGACTAAACCATTATTCATATCTCTAGAAGGAGCTTCCATGGTGGTAGCACAGAAAGTGCTAGTGGCTGGTACCCCAGCAAGGAAAATGGGTGAACTCCAGGCTTGATCTCACCCACTTTCACTACTTTTCAACAGATATGGTCGTCTTGCATTTGGCACCTGAAGATCCTGCCTATGGTGAATGCTTATCTATGTCATTCTCTACCTGTACTGAAGGGTACCCATTGAGCGTTGATGCCCCTGGTGCTTTGCTTCATGTAAGCAACAATTGAACTCAAGCTTCAACTGAGGGTGTTGAAACCAATATGTGATGTACCACTGGTCTCACGGGGTCTGACTAAACCATAATTTGAACCTCTAGCAGGAGCTTCCATGACGTTAGCACAGATGTTGTTGCTGGTGACTGGTACCTCAGCAGGGTGAATGTGTGAACTCCAGGCTTGATCCTGTGTACCCCCATTCACTAAATTTCAAAAGGATATGGTTGTCTTGCATGTAGCACCAGAGATCCTGCCTAAAGTGAGAGCCTTTCAATGCCATTCTCTACCTGTACCAAAGGATTTTGGGGCATTCTCCACTAGTGCTATTAAAGCATCTCGTAGGCTTCCATGGCAATGGTCTCTGCTGAAACTTTGTAAAGTTGGCATTTGGACCTCTTTGAACTAGTTTGTCCTGCATTACATATTGGACATTGAAGCAATTAATGAGGCACAATTTAGACGTCACATCCGTTCTCTACCCGTGCTGGAGGGTATCAGGGCACTCTCCTCTCATGCTGTTGCAGCATCGTGGGTTTCCATGGCAATGGTTTCTGCTGACACTTTTTGTAAGCTAGCATTTGAACCTCTTTAGACACGTTTGTCTGGCATTTAATACTGTTCGTTAAAACAGTCTATGATGCACAATTTGGTACTCAAGTACTTAGTTCATTCTTCTATCTATGTTGAATTATTCTGATTATTTGATTGGCTATTCTGTCCCTCCCTTTGTAAGTTTGGGTATTCCCCATGTGTATATGCTGCCATGATTAGGCAGGAAAGTAGAAAATGTATTCATACTTACCGTAATTTTCTTTTCCTGGCTATTATTCATGGCAACATATACTTCCCACCCATTAGTGTCTCTATTTATGTACTGTAGAGCTTGTAAACTGACTGAGGACCTTAGGGATGGAGCCTCCTTTTAAAACCTTGGTGGTTTTCCTGACCTATTGGCTGTAAGGGGAGGAGCTAACCCATGTGTATATGCTGCCATGAATAATAGCCAGGAAAAGAAAATTACGGTAAGTATGAATAAATTTTCCACTATAATACACAAAAGCCAGCGCACCTATCCTAGGTGAGTCACCTATCCACTAAAGAGCAACTTCAATGTTGACAGATTTTAGTAGCTTTTTAAAAAAAAACACCTAATCTAGGCAAAAATAATGGGGGGGTTTGTTACATTATATGAATATACATTGAATAAGCCTGCCACAACGTCAATGTACCCCATCTTTGCCAGGTCCTACTCTAACAGCCTAATGTCTGCTCTTATGAGATTAACCCACACATATATATATATATCTATATATATATATATTTTTATATATATATATATATATATAGATATATATATATACATATTACTTTGGAGCAATGTTATATTTCGATCCCCTAATAGGTAGCTCGATTAGTATCACCTTTTTCTTAAGGTTAGAACCAACTATTGTGTTACCATACAAGTTGGTTACTATTTATCATACTTATCGAATAATTGTTGTTTCTCGTTTTTTTCACATTATTGTACAAGAGCACTATTTAACTGTTTCTCACATTGGGTCAATTTTAATCGTTTTGCAATACAATTTATTTATTTTCTTATTTTGTACTTCCAAGTCTGGAAGATAGTTGACACCCTCTGCTGATTATATTGTATCACAGCTACCTTTGGTACACTGTTCTTTGTTTATTTAATAGTTTCATTTTGGTGTTTAAAAGGTTAAACCATGTTCTCCTCTATTTCTTGGCTTCACACTATTCATATAATGATTGCAATTAATGTTGTTAATCTAACATGATTGAATTATTGTGATCAAGCAGGCATCAATCTCTTGAGGTTCTTTCAGTCAGTCAGTATGCTAGATTTCCCATTGCTCTGCTGTGGAATATTTAATGCATGTTTCCTAGAAAGGATGGGCAGAGGTTGAATTCAGAAATCCCAGTGATTTAGCAGGATGGCAGCATATCATGAAATGCAATAGTGGTTTAATAGACCAGGAGTTAGAATAGAAGCTGGCTAGGGACCTCACTTGGCCTTCTGCATTTAGATTAATGACACTCAATACACAAGGTCACCGACGTTTTAACTATGAGCTAGCAAGGAAGAAGGCTGTAGGTAAGGAATACTCCTGGGCAAAGAATTTGAACAATTTAAAAGATAATAAAATAATTAATCTACATTTTCTCTTGACAAGGCTGCCTGCCAGGTATCGTTTATATAGGATTTCTGTGCTGATGCTGATCAAAGAAATATTGTCAGTATTTTAGGTTGTGATGGAGCCAACAGTTGGTTAAAATATTTATTTATGAAATAATTTACAGGGGGTGGGGGGGCGGAGCTTGGCAGCCAAGCTGAGCAGTCACATTTCAGACAAGCTCTGAGCTTAACGGCCTAATATCAGCCAAAACTTCTGCAACAGCCTGCATTTTGCCTGCTTTTAAGCCCCGGAGACAGGGGTCTAAGATTGCAATGATGTGCCATCGAGTCCTTGGCGACTGCATCCAGGGGCTAGACCTGAGGCCTACTTGCGGCCTACTCAGAGGGCACGAGGCGGCCGATCCCTTAGCCAACTGCAGCCTCCTTTACTGGATGTCTCCCCGGAACACCCTCTCCCCTCCCCCACCCCCAGCAACTACCGCATGCAGCTCAGGACGGAGGCACCAACCTCAGATCACCTGAACCGCCAGACCACTGAGCCCTGTCTGCCACCACTGTCGGAGCGGCTACCCATCCATTCACCGACTTCTGGGCCAAGATCTCCGGCAGTGGGGGCACTCCAGAAGAAGTCCCACCAACAGCAGTCCCAAGGGACCCTGCGAAGCAGCCTGCAGAACCGGTACAAGCCCCAAGAGTGACCTGGATGGCAGGGAGAGGAAGTCGGAAGTCCAGACGAAAGCTCCAGCATCCCAATCTTCGACCAGTGGTGAGTGGCCCAAAACCTCAACAGAGACTCACCCCAGGGCTACCACCTCAGAACTCCTATCTCCTACATTCTGCCCCATCTAGGAGACGGCACCATGCCGGTGGGCCCCGCACCCCCGGCACGACCCACCCCGGAAAACCTCGCTTTCAGGTCCACAGATTCATACGGGACTCCCCCATACACACCAACCTAACTCACCAGAACTAGGCTGACTCAAAGCCCAACGATCAGGGACACTCGGTCTCCTAACTCCTCAAAATGACGGCTCCAGCACCAGCACAGATCCGGGGACATCAGAGGAAGGCCCACCAAATGGGATCGCAAGCCTATGTGAACTCATGTCAATTAGTGTTGCTGCCTTGCCATCAACAGGCATCGGCTAAGCATCCCCATGCAGGCACTCTAATACAATGCTCACCTGTGGTGCTTACCGGGACTGATGTGCTGCACCATTGTAGGCAAAAGCATTAATAGCCTAGAGTCCCCATCTAACTGATTTGCTGTGGAAGAGCAACCCAACGGTTATTCTGTTTTATTTCACATTACTTATGTCTATATTATTCTGTTTTATGCCAACCCAGCACATCAGACATACTTTGTTAGCCTATCTTACTCATTTTATTTTCACACCTCTATCAATATGCCTAGGATTTTGTATAGCCTAGTTGCTCTCGCTTGATAGTTAACCTAGACATGTTCTGCCTAGCCTGTAATCTACACTACATAAAACAAAAAATGAAGTGCAGTATACTCGAATGCCTTACAACCAATATGCGTTGTCCAATTAACTGTCTTGCCAGTGCTGTTGGGGCATTGAAAGATCGTCTGTTAAACACGTGCACACAAAAATAAAGAATTTTAAAAATAAATAATTTACCAGGAAGGATACAAGGAGATTTCTCTAATTTTCAAGTATGTTCTGGGTCCACAAACATTACATTGTTTCAACAGGGTACAATGTTATATAAAAATGACAACATAATATTAATTTAACACAGAACAGGTAATAAATATAATCAACCATGATTACAGGTGCAATCTGTTTAGAGATATGTTGACAGAACTTAAAGGATTTGACACTGGAGAAAGATTTGATTGTATCCGAGAGGTCATTTCAGAGTTGCGGGGCTCTGTAGGAAAATGAGGATGAAGCCACCTTATTTTTTACTGTGGTATGCTAAATATGCTGGTACTGGATCAGAGTTTATAGGAGGTGGGAACATCTGGGGAGAGCATCTTACTCAGGTAGGACAGGAGCTTTCAAGAAAAGCTGGAAAGATGAAGGGTGCATCTGGATTTGAGCAATAGCAGGTTTAGCTCTTCTAACATAGTAATTACAGTGTAGCACAGAGCAACAGAATTAGTTACATAATGTAGTATGTTAATGAAGGTGGTTTTGCGGCGCAGGTGCAGGGCAATGTGAGTTGGCCAGATACTAACTTATATTTATTATATAAGATAAACACAATAGAAAGTGGGTGATGAATGGTGAAAAAAACCCAGTGCAGGCAAGCTTCTGTAAAGAGGTCACTCCAACCCCGAATATATACAAAACAAGATAAAAGGAAACAGAGCGCCGCAATCACTATATAGGTGATATAATAGGGTTAAAAGAAAATGAATAAATTGACAAAGAAAAAAATAAAATATATAAGGATAAAAAATAACAGAAAAATTTATTAATTATAAAATATCAATATTGACAGCACAGAACATGTGCAATATAAAATGCCACAATAGGCTAAATAAGACCCTTAGGTACAGCAGTTAAAAAACAATAAAGTACTGGATGTGCAAAGTGCAAGTGCCTAAGTGCAAATGTACAGATGGAAGTGCACAAAAAAACAATCCTCCATAAATTCAAATGGTGAACTGAAGACAAAATATTGCACAAGCATTAAACCAGTAGATATGTAAAATAAAGCTGCCGATACCAAACTGCAGGGTCCACAGGTGGGCTCAACGCGTTTCGTCTCTCGACTTCCTCAGGAGTATCTTCTCACTTCAAAATCCTCTTCTCTTTTGAATCCGCCGGTCAGTGCAGTCACTTCCGCCGTCGCCCATGCGTGCGCCACGTCATGCGCACCGTCATACGTCATGACGTGCGCGTGACTGGCTTGCGCATGCGCAACCACGTTGAAGTGTAAAATAACTTTATTGATAATATACACAGTCACACTAAGGACGTTCTATACAAAAAACGTCCTTAAAACTTTTGCGATCTGTGTGTACAAAGCCTGCCTGACCCCCAGCTGACCCCTAACAATAATCACTACCAGCCTACCAAGTCATATAAATAGTACTGGTGAGAAGAGGAAAAAAGTGAATGAAATGTTAAAATAAAATAAAATTAAATTAAAATGAAAAAAATAATAAAGAGAGATGTATATAAAGATAAAAATTTTTTTTATATATATATAATATATATGAGGTCATGTTGAATGAAAATAAAACTATTTATATTCTTGATAGGCAACCAAGAGCACACAGGGTACATAAATAAATAATAATTTGTATACAAAGTAAAAAATATATATATATAAAAATATACATATGATATATATAAAAATTCAAATAGTAAGACATCAGAATATGTAGACAAAAGGTACAGAAACTGTCACATAAATAATTAATTATTAAAATACGTATAAAAATAGGTTTAAAAATAGAAATAAATATAGGTTTAAAAATAGAAATAAATACATCATAAGTATAAAGAACACATCGTAAAGTTAAGGGTAACTATTATAAATTTCCAGTATTTTAAATGTATATTAATAACCTATAAACATACAATAAAATCAATCCATTAAAAAGGCCAATATATCCAGGTCGGTGTTAAGCCCAGAGGGCCAGAGGATTTCATCCTATATATCCACTCTGTCTCCATCATGGCTAACATTTTCTCAGTATCTCCACCCCTCCAGTGTGGTACAATCATGTCGATCCCAATACATATAAAATCTTTAAAATCTAATTCCCTACATATACTGCAATGTTTGGGTACACTATGTTTCGTATTTTTATTCTTAATCCCATTGAAATGTTCCAATATTCTTATATGAAGTTTTCTAATAGTGCGCCCTATATATTGGATTCCACATTTGCACTGTAACAAGTATACCATAAATTTGCTCTGACAGTTAATAAATTGTTTAATTTTAAAATTTTCTTTGGTCACAGTACTGGAAAATTCCGTAGTCTTGTTTTTCTGGAATTTGCATGTACTGCACCTTCCACATTTAAAAAAACCTTTAGGTTTTTCTGATAAAAAATTAACCTTTTCATTTATAACCTCTTTCTTAGGTAAAACACTAGGGGCTAAAATATTCCTTAAATTATTCGGTCTTTTATATATTACCTTGGGATTCTGGGGTAAAATCTTTCCTAAATATTTGTCTTGTAATAAAATTGGCCAATTTTTCTTGATCGATTTCTGTATTAAACCTGCCTTGTTATTATATTTCGTTAAAAACGCAAATTCTGAACAGTTTCTTACATCTTTTTATTTCTATTTTTCCTTACTAAAAGGTCCTTTCTCTGAAAGCTTTCCACTTCCCTCTGATATTTACATAAAAGTTCACTAGGATAATTTCTGTCTAAAAATTTCTTATTTAAAATTTGTACCTGTTCTTTAAAATCTTTTTTCTCCGTGCAATTTCTAAAAACCCTCATGTGTTGTCCTTTAGGGATATTGGTTAACCATTTTGGATGATGACAACTTGAAAATTCAATAAAACCATTTCCATCAGTTGGTTTAAAAAACGTTTTACTATGAATTTTACCTTCTTTGGAGAACAAAGTTAAATCTAAAAAATTAATACTGATGTCGTGTATCTCTTCCGTAAACTTAAGACCATATGTATTAAAATTAATATACGCTAAAAACTCAATTAAAAGACTCTTGCTGCCCTTCCGAATAATTAAAACATTGTCTATATATCTCCTCCACTGCACCAGGTTCGCACCAAATGGGTTGTTTTGCCAAATATTATTCAATTCCCAATCTGCTACGAAAATATTGGCATAGCTTGGTGCGAACCTGGTGCCCATCGCCGTCCCACATGTTTGGAGGTAATAGACTCCCTTTAAACCAGAAATAGTTATGAAATAAAATAACTCTGATCAATTCTAGAATAAAAGAGGCTTGTTCTGAGTTCATCTGTAAATCATTATTTAGAACATTTTTCACAGCTTCAATACCTTTTTCATGGTCAATTACCGTATAAAGGGATGTTACATCTACTGTTACCCAGAGGTAATCCTCTTGCCAGTCAAGACCCTCAAATTCTTTTATGATCTGGGCTGAGTCTTTCGTATATGATTTTACCAACGTCACATATTTTTGTAAAAAGAAATGTATTGTGAGATGTTACTGGTTAGAGAGCCAATTCCACTAATAATCGGTCTCCCTGGTGGAGATTCGAGACACTTATGAACCTTGGGTAAATAATAGAAAATAGCTGTCCTGTGGGATGAAATATAGAGATAGAGAAATTCTTCTTTATTTATAATATCTTTACTCATACCTAACGTTAAAATAATACGTAATTTCTCTTTAAATTCACCTGTAGGATTAACCTTTAAAATTTTATAAGTGTTAGAGTCCCCTAATATTCTCTGTGACTCTTTCAAGTAAGCCTCTCTGTCCAAAATTACAATACTTCCACCTTTATCGGCGTGTCTGATCACTATCTCTTTATTGTCTTTCAAGGTTTTTAAAGCTTGTTTTTCCATTCTTGTCAGATTCTCTTTACTCTTATGTTTAGAAATTTTTTCGAATTCACTCATGATCATCTCACAAAAAACAGGTACATAATCCCCTTTTTCCCAAGTAGGGAAAAACTTTGATTTATTTTTCAGACCTGAATGGGTTATCTCTGGTGTTGTAATTCCTACATTAAGTGGGACCATAGTTACCATAGGATCTCTTTCAATATCCTTCTGTTCGAGTCCTACCTCCTTTTTCTTTTCAAAAAACCTCTTAATCATTAACTTTCTTAAAAACCTTTGAGTATCTATAAATAATTCAAACATATTTATTATAGAAGGGACAAATATGATTATGATAATAATCAAATTAGGTCATACCATCAGAATAGACATAATCACAAAGACCTACAACCCTATAGACCTTTTGTAAAAAAATACAGATAAGATATAACAAAAAAATTAGAGGAATTATTCATACAAGGAAAAGAAATGGAGATATTAAATGATAACGAGTATAGATACCTAAACATCAAAAAAACGAAAATTTTAGTACTATACCATCTCCCCAAAATACATAAGGACTTAACAAACTCTCCAGGTAGACCGATAGTCTCGGGGATTGATTCAATCTCCAGTAGACTATCCGAGTGTTTAGATCGTTGTCTTCAACCGACAGTTCAAAGTACATCTAGTTACTTGAAGGACACATTGAATGTCATTCAGATCCTGAGAGAGATCCAATGGGAATCTCATTTTATCCTAGTCACTGCAGACGTAGGATCATTATATACCATTATCTCACATGAGAAAGGTATGAAGGCCGTAGATTTCTTTTTAAAACAAACTAAAGTCTATCCAGAGGAACAAATAGAATTTATCCTATGGGGGATTGACCTGATTCTTCGTAACAACTATTTTTGGTTTCAAAATGACTTTTATTTACAGAAGTGTGGTACCGCTATGGGGACAAGGTTCGCACCCAACTATGCCAACCTTTTTATGGCATTTTGGGAGCAGAACTTCATTTTGGCCAATGCCGGCTGGAGTGCGAACCTTGTCACCTATAAGCGGTACATTGACGATATCTTTGTTTTTATCTGGAGAGGGACTGTAGACTAGCTGAAAGATTTCCTCTGCTTTTTGAACAACAATCAATGGGGAATAGTACTTACTACAAATTATAGTACACAACAAGTTAACTTTTTAGATCTGACGATCTATGTAGAAGATGACCATATTAAAACTAAGACATACTTTAAAAGTGTGGATGTCAACAACTACATACACTTAAACAGTTGCCACTTCTCGCCGTAGCTAAAAAACATTCCAAGGTCACAATTCATGCGTATTCGCAGGAATTGTACAGACATTGGTAGTTTTCAAATACAGGCCCACAGGATTAAAGAGCAATTTCTAGAAAAGGGTTATGATGACTCGGCACTATCAAGTACTTTAAACGAGATAGGAGTTTTGGACCATGCATACCTTTTGGAATACAAACAGAAAAAAGAAAAAGATAATAAAGGGATACCTTTTATTTGTAATTATAACAGACATTGGCCGACCTTAAAAAGTGATCCATTATTACACAATATATCGGCAGAAAAACCACAAATCATATACAGAAGAGCTCCTAATTTAAAACAATTATTAACTCATAATCCCATTAAAGAAGAAATACCTAACCCGTTCTTTCATAAACCTGTTTTTTTTGGATGCGGCCAGTGCCTAACTTGTAGGAGCACGAACAGCAAAAAAAGACATGTTACTTCCTTCATAGACCCCCAAAACAAAAGAGAATATAAAATCAAGACAATGATTACATGTTTTTCAAAGAAGGTAATCTATGTTTTGAAATGTCCATGTGAATTATATTATGTGGGGAGAACTAAACGTCCTCTCCACGTAAGGATTGATTAACATTTTCCCTTCAGATTAGAGGCAGTGCTTTACAACTGGGATTTCATCACCTGGAGGGAAAAAACAGGCAGGCAATCTCCCAAACTTTTCAAGAACCTCCCCCAATTAACCTTTGGCCTTATAAATTGCTTCCTACCCAAGACATCCCCAGTTCTTTGCCTGCCTCTGGCAGAGGAGGGTGTCAGGTTCAGGTTTTCTCCCCAGAAGTATGGTGAGAGGGCTGAGGCTCTGGAGGCTCTACTTCTTTTAAATACATTTTTCAGAGATCTGCCAGGGATAACACATCAGACAGCTGTATCTCCCCGGTTTGTATTACTTC